TGCAAAGTACCTTCCGGAGCATACATAATTACAAGGATATAATCTTTAGAAACTTTATCTTTGATACCAAAACATTTTAAAAAAAGTTTGATCTTTGCGGCCGATGTCTTAGCTTATTATTATTAGAATGAAATATATTTTAAATTAATATAAACAATAAATAACAAATTATATTCAGCAAAATTAATAAAATATTAAAGATTACTTCTTTTATAAATTCTTCATGGCAATTATTCGAATTATGAAGTAATTTAAGCGCTTTTATCATACCATATTGCAGCTGCAAATCCGCCTTTACATATCCACAAAGTCATCATAAGAAATCCAAGATACGTAGCTGATGCTATTCTCGATCAATAAATTTTTCAAATCATCATCAATTTCTGAATTATGCATCCATTCATTTGTAGCTATTAATTATTTATAAAATTTATCAATTTTAGATTTTAAAGAAATAAATAACAATATAACAATATAGTTTATAACCAATTATAATAATGCCTAACGTTAATTCTTTCTCCCTAATTGGAAATTTAAATATGAATCTATCAAATTATTATAAGTTATCGTATAAGTTATCGTATGGTGGATAAAAAAAATATTCGTACTATCGCGTCGATTTTTTCACTCATACGATAACGTTATTATCGTCTGATAGTTGTTACTATCGTATGCATTTGATCAATTAAATAACGTATACGTTTGTCTTTTTGCAGTTTTTTACACGAGAATTTTTTTGTGATATCAGTTATGGTTATCAGTAATCAATTATATATAATTTTGTAGTTGCTCATGAGTCTCAAATCTTATTGGACTTTTTCTTATTTGAATTTATTTAGCTTATAAATATTATATAGTAGTTATTTATTAACAAAAGTATTAAAATATCGCTATTCATCTCTTATTAAAATTTTATTCATAATTACTATATCTTGTCATGAATAAACACCCCTGTAAATAAGCCTCCCTTATATATATTATTTTTCATTAGTAAGCACCCACTTGTATAAAAAGTAAATAAATAAAATATGTTCGAAATTCAGATTTTGTACTAAGCAAACCTAACCTATTCTTAAGTGAAGTTGTTTTTCAAACTAAGAACATCAAATTTGGCCTTCTCTGAATTTTGTACATTATAATAACCAAAATTACAAAATTCGAAAACCATTGCTAGTGATCCATGGGTCGAATTTGATGATCTTACTACCATTAGAAAGCTCTTTATCTGAAGAACAACTTTACTTAAGAACATATGTTAAGTTTACTTAGTACAAAATTCGTGTTCAGATTATGTTTTTAAATCTTACTGTGAATAAGCACCCTTACTATAATGAAAGAGAATGCTTATTCACATAAGGATATGGTATTTAATCTGTGAGCATAATGATCATTTTTATTAATAAAATACTTAAAATTTAAAGTTAAAATCAAAGATCGAAGTTGAGGAATAATTACGTGTAGTGGCTATATGCAATATGAAGCATGATCGGCAATATCAAAGTAGAATGTCGGAGCGAAAGCGTACGTATTTCGTATTCTAAATAGATTTAGTGTTTTAATTTATTAAGTGTTACAACATTATGCCTCTCAATATAACGGAGATCTGGAATATTTATTTCGGTACAATTAATACAATTAATTCACAGATAAGCTTATTTTATGAAATATTATTTTAAGACAATTCATTTTATAGACGTGTTTATCTCATCGATAGTTCCTTATATAAAGGAATATAAAAGTAGATGTGTTCTTGCAGCATTTTATTATCTAAGTTCTTTCAGTGTAATTTACGAGATTCTTTTTTTTTCAGCAATCACTAGCAGGTCTGATATTTTCGCAAAATTTACACATTCAATTTACATAATTACATCGGCAAAAACCTTCCTTATGTTATTGTTCTAAACTTTCGACTCTTTTGTAATATTTGCCATAGGATTATCCGTAATCCATACTAGGTAAGTACACAAGCATTCCATTGGAAAAGTCAACACAAATTTATTTATTTCATCATCCGGAAAGTATTTCGGCGCCAACTTGCATAATTTTTTCATACATTGGAATTAAGCGATTTTGTTGATCTTGTGACTTGAAGATGTGACAATAAAGGATCTGGTTTCAGATAGCAGCCAAAACATATTCTTTTGTCGTGTTGAAAGGTCCTCGGTCCATTGCTCTTCCATTAACAAAGAAGTCAATTTCAACTACCTGACCAATTTTAATTGATCATTTAATTTGCCATCAAAAAAAATACTACCTATCCTTGAGAACGTAAGCTTCTTAAGAGCCAATTGAATGTGAATAACTTTTGAAAGAATTATTTTTTTTTATTTTCCACGACGAAATCACTCCATACATTACATAAATGACAACCAGGTAAACGCTCGATTGAACTATTCCAATAATAGATTTTAGGAACAGGAATTTTCGTATTTAAGCGAACATATTCCATAACTGCAACCTCGCTCTCCGTCTTCCAACGTGGATATTCAGGAAATGCTACTCTTCCAATATATTCTGTTCCATTTTCCATTGTTAAGATATACCTTATGAAAGCCACCTTCGCTGAGCTTTTGTATAGAAATACATTGCATGTGAAACACTTTGGATGCAGATTCTTGCAAGGCCTCTAAATTAATATATAGTTCGACAGAATCATCAGAATCATTTTCAGAATCACTTCCAAAATCATTTTTATGGCTTTAAATAACAGGAAGGTTGCCTTTTCCTGCCATTTCAATAATGTTACGTACAATTTAGGCGTTAAACATTGAGTTAACATAAAATGCTTAGCATTATACTATATATCTTTCAGGTGATATCGTCCAAATATGGAAATGATTCCATATGGTTATACAATTGTCAAAGAAATTTTTTTATATGTTTTACAATACTTTTCCGGGAGTTCGGGTAACTCGGTGTTATTTAAAAATTTTATGTAGTACTGTATATATACAACGTGTATATTCTAGATACAATTGTTAAGGCCTTCGGCATCACATGCAGTCAAGCTAAGCTTAAAATAATTATATACAACTAGGGATGGGTTCGTTTACGGTTATAACCGTTTAGCCGCGGATATTAACCGTAACCAATGCTGACCGGCTGACCGGTGCTATATTCTTAATAATAATAACCTGTTATAAAAACAATGCATACTTTAATTATTGTATAATTGGACATGAAATACACTAGGGATTGGAACCGTTTAACCGTTTAAAATTTGCTCCATAATTCCGGGCAGAATTATGTTGGTCGCGGGCCGGAATTATCTTAATGCCGGCCAGGTTAAACGGTTAAACGATTAAACGATTAAACGATTAAGAAAAATTTTAGGTGGTTCCAATCCCTAAAATACACACATATCGGCGGATCTGCATCATCTAATAAATAGAAAAACCTATCAATCATAATTTTGGTTAAATTGGAAGATCATTTGGCAAGATCTGGTCAAATGATCTGCAACTTTTACCAAAATTATGACTGATGTTTTTTCTATTACCAGATGATGCAGATGAAGAACTTTTCTTAGTATCAATCTTTATCTGTGTATCAATCGGATTTAGTAAATAAAATATGATTTGGAACTAATTTTCATTTTGACGTAACCAACATAAATCATAAGTATTACAAAATAATTCACGAAAAAATGCATAGAAAATTCACGATTTTGATTGGCTAATGACAACGATGGAAAATTAAGGCCAAAATTATTCTAATGAAATCACAACTACACATTAAGTGAAAAATATTTCAAGGCTAATTTTATTATTGAACAGATCCAAATCCAAAAATTTTCATTTATGGAATAAATAATTAAAAAATAATTCCGGCCAAAATTATGTATAATGTGGCCAAAATTTTGTCGATCACAGCCATTGAACAATCAAAATCGAGAATCTGCCACGCATTTTTGCGTGGCTAGTAATGATAATTGTGTTTTAATACAGCAATCGTAAAAATCATAATATTTTCAGAAAATATAACAATTACGATAAACGTTGAAAAATTTTTGCAATATTTCGTTTCACATTATCTCAGGCTAGACTGAACCGATTTTAATGATTTAACCACCACTAGAACCAGAATAACCCGCTGAGAAATTTTACTTAGAGCGATATTGTGACATTTGTTATATTATTTTAAGATCGGAACACTTTTTAAAATTATTTTCAAATTTTTATATTAATCGAAATTTTTAGTACGTATAGTGTAAAATATAAATCTAACACAGTTAAATATTAAAATTGACCTTTTTTTTAGTTATTTGATTAATAATTGTAATATTGTTGCAGACAAAATTCCGAAACACCAAAATTTTATTAAAGAAACAATCTAACATATACGAATCAAAAAAGAAGGAAAAAACGAACCAAAAACGAAAAATACAAGAAATAAATGTTTATTTAAACCTATTCTAGAACGCTAATAATTAATAAAGAAATAATCCGAAATAACTCTCAGTATTTGTTCCAATATCAAACTGATCTTTATTTTTATTTAATAATCGTTATATAGTTACAATGCACTGTTTCGTTTTAACGTTTCTCACGAATACATTCCAATCAAAATTAAAAAATATTACTTCTTTTGATCTCGGCTGTAAAGAGCAGTTTCCCCCTACTATAGCAGGTAAAATCGGGATCTCCCACATATGGTGAAAGATCCGAAAAGTCGTAATCGGCACCCATTACAGTATTTAGCACCGAATTGATATTGACATCAATTGCGGTACATACCGACCTCTCTTTATTAAATGGGTGCCGATATGCAAATTCCGGAACCTGGAGTTTTTCTTCGTGATAAAGGTGTGTTCTTTCACCTCCTCAAAGAATCCTTCCCAAAGTCTCACATCTTTTGACGATTTTCCAACCGCCGAAGTAGTGGACTTTGTCGAAACATCTGGGGAATACTCACTCAATGGGAGGTGGAATGAACGACAGCGCCTCCTCTTGACTCACGACTAAAGACAAAATATAAAAATTATCAACAATACAAAATATAAACAAATATTATGCTTAGCGTCTTTACTCACGTTTAGAATTAATAGTCTTCTTTTTCTTATTTGTAGAAGAGCCAACATTATCATTTTTCCAACAACGGACGCAGATGATGTGGCTACTAAAACATCTATAATTTTGACCTTTTTTAAAATATAAATTGTAAAATTAGAACTACTGTATATATTAACAACTTCGATTAACAATATAAAAACAAAATTTTGAAAATTAATAATACCCAAAAAAGCTTGGTCAAAAGTCAACCTACTATGCCTATCAATGGATGCACGTACGTACATACGTACGTTGTAGAAGTGCGGATTCGAGGTCACCGGTTCTCGTAACCTAAATCACAACAAAGACTAGGCTATACGAGGAAGATTTGGTCCGAGAACTAAGGATCCTACTGCCACTAAGATCCTCGGATTTGGTAGTCTTGATTATGATTTTATTTCGCTTATTATCTATTTGATTCTGTTAGTTACTTTTATACATTATGAACAACATTGGGGCTTTGCTACTACGATTAAGATCATTATAAGTAATATAGCTATTTAGAATATCGGGGGAATCTATAAGCAATTCATACTCATTTGCATGACAATGACTTTAGTTCCCACCACGTGAATACCAGCGACGCCTTACTATTGTTCTCAATAGAGCATCGCCTCAAGCCAAACCCGAATTAGCATTATTAAATGCCTTCGCCTTGTCGATTAATCCGCATTTCGGGTCCCGAGTTATGTGGCTTGAATCATGTTTTCATAACTGCAGCTAGGCCATATTACCCCGTTACAACGTACGTTGTAAAAGAGTAGATCGACTCTAAGGTAGCTTGGGTTGGATCTAGTAAAAATAGATGCAATAGTTTTAGTCAGCGTTAATGTTTAAAAGTTTAAAGTAAAGCCAAAATTAGAAGAATGTGGGAAATCATTACTGTAATTGTAAAAATTCATTTTTGTAGCTTTCGTGAATTTAATGATTTTTGTGACTTTTGTGAATTTCGTAACTTTCATAGTTTTCGTGGATTTGTGGTTTTAGTTAAATAATTTACATTGCATAAAGTAACAATGTAAAAACTATAAAAGCGGTGCTTATCCGCCTTGAAAATACTTGGAGTTCAAAGTCTTCGAAGTATTAAGTAGAAGTATTTGTCTCGAACACGTTTTACCCTTTGATTCGAAAATCGTTCGTCGTCTCAATATTTTCTTGCACCTGTGACTATCGAATATCGTCGTATTTATAAAAAGAGAGAAATTGTATTAGTAATACAGTCCCTTAAATCGATCTTGATCAAGTTTGTGATCCACACCAGGGCCGATGATTTTTTGCATTTCACGGAATGCCGCAGAAATCACGGAATTAGGTTGTAAACACGGAATGTATTAAGAATAGCACGGAATTGCCGCAGAAGTAGGGATTTATAAATTATTTAGTTTTTTTTATAGGTACAAGGTTTTAAAAATATAACTTCCGGAAAGTTCCGATGTAGAAAATAAATAAACCTGAAATACGAGCGTGGTCGGCGAACATTTTTGCTTAATATCTTAAATATTCCGAAGACTAAACGACAAATTGATTGCAGAATATTCAAGATTTCTATATAACTAACACAGAATTTATAAATGAACAACGCAAAATTCAGCAGAAATTATGAATTTTAATTTGAATTTGTCACGGACGGAATTAACAATTTATCACCGCAGAAAATCATCGGCCCCTGCCCGGAAATACTTATTTGTGCGAGTGATACAAACCCAAAAAAGGAAATTCAACGTAAAAATAAACTAAGTTCGTGAAAAT